ACCTCAGCCTCCCAAAGGCGCGGGATTACAGGCTGAGCCACCGAGCCCGGCTAGGAAAGCATTTTTAAAAAAGAAAACCCAGAGACCTAAAATAAAAGATTTTTTTGAAGTTAAGAAATTAACAAGAAAAGCTTTATGGTAAACAGCCCTGTAAATCAGAAGACAAATGACAATCTTGGCATAAATATTTACAATGAATAAAATAGATAAATAATAGCTTCATATAAGGGGTTATTTTTAAAAAGAAAGAAAAAAAAAGACCCAGTAATGCACTAGAAAAAGCAGTGTTATAGTTTGGATATTGTCCCCTCCAAATCTCATATTGAAATGTAATTCCCAGTGTTGGAGGTTTGGTCTAGTGGGAGGTGTTTGGAACATGGGGGCAGATTCCTCATGAATGACTTGGTGTCCTCCTCACAGTAATGATTTCACCCAAGATCTGGTTGTTAAAAGAATCTGGGACCACTCCCTCTCTCTCTCTCTCTTGCTTCTGTTCTTCTCACATGACGTGCCTGCTCCTGACCTTCTGCCATGACTGTAAACTTCCTGAGGTCTCACCAGAAGTCCAGCTGATGCTGGCACCATGCAAAGCCAGGAGCCAAAATAAACCTCTTTTCTTCAGAAATTACCCAGCCTCAGGTATTCCTTTATAGAACAAAAAGTGAACTAATACGGCAGGCAAACAACTTGAACACTAAAGAAGAAATATAAATGTTAATGTGCATCTGAAAAGACCAGTGCTGTCCCGGGAGTAAGGAAAGTGCAAATTAAAACAATGTCGGAATGAGAAATGTCTTTATCCAGAGTAACAGGTTGCAGAAGGGCACGCTTGTCACTGCTGAGCCTGAGAATGCAGGGTGATCCCCACTTTCGTTGACTGCTTCTATTAAATCTAAAACAGTCATACTCTTTGAGTCAGCAGTTCAGCTTGCAGGAATCTATTTTATAGCTTTGTTTCGTGTACCCTAAAAAGATATGTTCAAGTCCTAACCTCCAGCACCTCAGAATGTGACTATATTTGGAGATAGAGTTGTTGCCAATGTAGTTAGTCGGGGTCATTAGGGTAGGCCCTAATCCAATATAACTGGTATCCTTATAAGAAGATAGTTATGTGAAGACAGAGACACACATGGAGGATGGCTTGTGACAACAGAGGCAGAGATTGGAGCAACTGCCAAGGACTGCTGGCAAACACCAAAAACTGGAAGAGGCAAGGAAGGATCAACTCCCCACACAGGGTTTCAAAGGGAGCACAGCCCTGCTGATGCCTTGATTTTGGACATCAAGCCCCTATAACTGTACGAGAATCAATTTCCTTTGTGTGAAGCCACCTGGTTTGTGGTACTTTGTTATAGCAGCTCCAGGAGACTGACAAGGAACTTGCACACACACATGTAAAAACAAAGATATCCACTGCAACATGATTTGGGATGCCAAAAAACTGGGATGACAGGACATATCCTGCTGCTGGACAAGTGCCATGAAACACCATAAAGTTTTTAGAATGAGGACAAGTAGGGTTCCAC